AAATAGTAAAAATAAAGAAAAACCCTTGAATGAGTAGGTGTGTCCAAACTTTTGACTGGTACTTTATATATACACACACATGTACACACAACTGTAAAGCTATCAGCTAACTGGCAATTAGGCGGCCAGCCAGTGTGTAGCTTATCCCTGCCTCGCTATCACTAACGCTAGCATTCATCTCTGGAACGAATTGCAAAAATCTCTGAAGCTGGAGACTCTTATCTCCCTCACTAACTTTAAGCATCAGTTGTCAGAGCACCTTACCGATCACTGCACCTGTACACAGCCCATCTGAAATTAGCCCACCCAACTACCTCATCCCCATATTGTTATTTATTTTGCTCATTTGCACCCCAGTATCTCTATTTGCACATCATCTCTTGCACATCTATCATTCCAGTGTTAATACTAATTGTAATTATTTTGCACTATAGCCTATTTATTGCCTTACCTCCATAACTTGCTACATTTGCACACACTGTATATATATTTTCTGTTGTATTTTTTGACTTTATGTTTTTTTACCCCATATGTAACTCTGTGTTGTTGTTTTTAATCGCACTGCTTTGCTTTATCTTGGCCAGGTCGCAGTTGTAAATGAGAACTTGTTCTCAACTGGCTTACCTGGTTAAATAAAGGTGGGGAAAAAAAAAAAAAAAAAAAAAAAAAAAACATCTCTAACAATAAACAAGCCAACAAACGTAATAGTAACTAAAATTCCCTGAAGTAATATAAACATAGTTAGGCTTGAAACCCAGTCTAAAGCCACATAACAATTTAACCAAACCTGACTGGACCTCTATGCGTAAAATAAAAGTATACAGACAAGATGGCATAGTGTGGCTATAGTTATGGTCACACCCTTGTAAACTTAGCGAGCTAGCTAAATAGCGCAGCCAACATTAACTATGATCCAACGTTACCTTGCCAGTCATTATCGCGCTAGCCATCTAGCCAGCCAGCTGTGCCAGCCAGTCGATCCTATGAGTCATTTAGTTGTTTCTTCATGTTCTAACAGTTCACTATCCACTGTATCCAAGTTCAAAAGACAGTTACTCATGATGTAGTAGGCATAAACAAGTCAGGGAGTTCTTTCCTCATGTATGTTTCAGCCATCTTCATAAAGTCAATTATGCGCTCACCATTCTTGGTTTCCATCCACAAAGTTGCCGGGTAGCGCAGGCCGTATGCCAAGCCAGCCTGCCGCAGAAGCCTCTTCAGTGGGGAGAAAGCCATCCTCCTCTTGTGTAGTTTGGGAGAAAGATCCGGAAAGATCATGAATTTGGAATCTCCGTACTTGAGCTCTCCCTTTGCTCGGGCAGCAGAGAGGATGCGGACAGTGTCCTGGTACCGTAGAAATGTAATGACAAATGCCCTGGGTGCAACCTGGCCAGGCAACCGCCTCCGTAGCGTGCGATGGGCCCTCTCGATTTCCAGTGGGTGCGCGGAAGGGGGAAGATCCAGAATTTTGGGAATCCATTCCTGTAGAAAGGAGATGGCGTCTCTTCCCTCCACGGCCTCCGGGAAACCATGAAATCTCAAATTCAAGCGCTTTTGGAAAAGTTCGTAAGAATCTAATTTCTCCTTGAGTTTAGAGATGGCGTCTTCCAACTTCTTGGACTTTTGATCCACATCCTCGCTGATATCCAGGATGGCAGCCTGGTGGTCAGCATGATCTTTTTCTAACTTTGTCACTCGTCCCTTTGTGACTTTCTGGTCTTCGTGGAGTTTGATGAGGCGTTCTGAAAGTGTCTCTTGGATTTCTGTTATACCCTTGTCCATGTCCATTCTGAACCATGCTGGTGCATCTTCCGAGCTAGCTTCCGCCGAATACGGGCTGTCAGAGGGGGGCACATTTCTATGCCTCGTCTAATGCTTTGCAAGATTGTGCATCTTTTGTTTTGGCAATAAAAAATATGTTTTAACTTCCAACTCACTATTAACGAACAGGTCAACCGTGTCAAAATGCCTTAAACATTTTCTAAAATTCGGGACGCTAGGCATGACACATCTTCTTAGAGCTTCACCATTGCCGGAAGTCCAAGGGTGGCTACTTTGAAGAATCTCAAATATAAAATATATTTTGATTTGTTTAACACTTTTTTGGTTACTACATGATTCCATATGTGCTATTTCATAGTTTTGATCAAATCAAATCGTATTTGTCACATACACATGTTTAGCAGATGTTATTGCAGGTGTAGCGAAATGCTTGCGTATCCAGCTCCAACAGTGCAGTATATCTAACAATTCACAGCAGTACACACAATACACACAACCTAAAAGTAAAAGAATGGAATTAAGGAATATATCAATATTAGGATGAGCAATGTCGGAGTAGCATAGACTAAAATACAGTACAATAGAATAGAGTATATACATGTAAACATTATTAGAGTGACTAGTGTTCCATTATTAAAGTAGCCAGTGATTTCAAGTCTATGTATATGACCAGGTGCAGGGTTACGTAACCAGGTGGAAGCCGCCTAGTGATCGCTATTTAACAGTCTGATGTCCTTGAGATAGAAGCTGCTTTTCAGTCTCTCGGTCCCAGGTTTGATGCACCTGTACTGACCTCGCGTTCTGGGTGATAGCGGGGTGAACACGCAATTGCTTGGGTGGTTGTTGTCATTGATGATCTTTTTGGCCTTCCTGTGACATCGGGTGCTGTAGGTGTCCTGGAGGGCAGGTAGTTTGCCCCCGGTGATGCGTTGGGCAGACTGCACCACCCTCAGGAGAGTCCTGCAGTTGCGGGTGGTGCAGTTGCCGTACCAGTCGGTGATACAGCCCAACAGGATGTTCTCAATTGTGCATCTGTAAAAGTTTGTGAGGGTTTTAGGTGCTAAGCCAAATTTCTTCAGCCTCCTGAGGTTGAAGAGACACTGTTGCACCTTCTTCCCCATACTGTTTGTGTGGGTGGACCATTTCATATCGTCAGTGATGTGCACCCTGAGGAACTTGAAGCTTTCCACCTGTTCCACAGCGGTCTCGTTGATGTGGATAGGGCTGTGCTCCCTCTACTGTTTCCTGAAGTCCACGATCAGCTCCTTTGTTTTGTCGACATTGAGGGACAGGTTATTATCCTGGCACCACACTCCCAGAGCCTTCACCTCTCTGTAGGCTGTCTCATCATTGTTGGTAATCAGGCCTACTACTGTTGTGTCGTCTGTAAACTTGATGATTGAGTTGGAGTCGTGCTTGGCCACGCAGTCATGGTTGAACAGGGACTACAGGAGGGGACTGAGCACGCACCCTTGTGGGGCCCCTGTGTTGAGGATCAGCGAAGTGGAGGTGTTGTTTCCTACCTTCACCTGGGGGCGGCCCATCAGGAAGTCCAGGACCCAGTTGCACAGGGCGGGGTTCAGACCCAGGGCCACAAGCTTAATTATGAGCTTGGAGGGTACTATGGTGTTGAATGCTGAGCTATAGTCAATGAACAGCATTCTTACATAGGTATTCCTCTTGTCCAGATGGGATAGGGCAGTGTGCAGTGCGATGGCGATTGCATCGTCTGTGGATCTATTGGGGCGGTAAGCAAATTGAAGTGGGTCTAGCGTGTCAGGTAAGGTAGAGGTGATATGATCCTTAACTAGCCTCTCAAAGCACTTCATGATGACAGAAGTGAGTGCTACGGGGCAACAGTCATTTAGTTCAGTGACCTTTGCTTTCTTGGGTACAGGAACAATGGTGGACACCTTGAAGCAAGTGGGGACAGCAGACTGGGATAGGGAGAGATTGAATATGTCCGTAAACACTCCAGCCAGCTGGTCTGTGCATGCTCTGAGGACACGGCTAGGGATGCCGTCTTACTCACGTCATGTCTCTATACTGACGTTTTGCCTGTTTCATTGCCTTACAGAGGGAATAACTACACTGTTTGTATTCGGACATATTCTCAGTCACCTTGCCATGGTTAAATGCGGTGGTTCGCGCTTTCAGTTTTGCACGAATGCTGCCATCTAGCCACGGTTTCTGGTTAGGGTAGGTTTTAATAGTCACAGTGGGTACAACATATCCTATACACTTCCTAATAAACTCAGTCACCGTATCCGTGTATTCGTCAATGTTATTCTCTGAGGCTACCCAGAACATATCCCAGTCCGCGTGATCAAAACAATCTTGAAGCGTGGATTCCGATTGGTCAGACCAGCGTGGAACTGTCCTTAGCACGGGTACTTCCTGTTTGAGTTTCTGCCTATAGGAAGGGAGGAGCAAAATGGAGTCGTGATCAGATTTGCCGAAGGGAAGGGGAGGGCCTTGTAGGCATCGCAGAAGTTGGAGTAGCAGTGGTTGAGTGTTTTAGCAGCGCTATTCTACAGAAAATAGTAAAAATAAAGAAAAGCCCTGGAATTAGTAGGTGTGTCCAAACTTTTGAATGGTACTGTATATATATATATATATATATATATATATATTATTTAAAAAAATATATATATTACAAAGTATAGCCTAATGGATTTATATTGTAGTCTAGTTGGTGTCGGTAATGCAACATATTGGATGCCAACCGCCTTAAACGCCAAAGAAGAAGAAGAATGCGCTGACAAATATGTTTTTTAACTAAACCAAGATAGACCACAGCCTTTCGTTTTTACAATGGGAACAAATTAGTCATAGGTGGGCAGAGCCATGCACGAGCTAGGCGCGTTCTAGCATCATCTGCATGTTTCCGTTAGGGAACGCCTACTCTGAAGTGCGCGTGTGCAATAACTCAATTCGCACTCCTTCTCAACAACGCGATTTTTAAAAACTTTTGCAAAGGGTAAAGTCTACAAAACGTAGTCCACTCTGTTCATAACAGATTATTGTTTTGGGAACAGAAAATTGTATTGAGATCAAATGTTTAATCGATGAGAAAATTTGCAGGATGTCGGCCAAAACCCATCTCGTTCTATGTTCTCCCACTACTGGCCAGTGGGCTTCCTCTCACAGTGACTGGAAACGCCAAGCGGATGCTTCATATTTATACATCCGGTGAAATATCTGTCTCATTGTTCTATCTGTGGCGCTGATCTTCCATCGCTGGGGCTCACGTACGGATTGGTTTATTTAAGGTACCGCGAAACACACAGTTGCTGATGAATTGGTTTGGATTTGGCTTCAACGCCTTTGGGCAAATACGAGCGAATGAAAAGTTGACTGATGGTGAAAGTGCCGCAGATGCCAACGTGACTAACCCAATATGTATCGATATTCTTTGTCGGAATTTGGAAGAGGAGCCTGTCCAAATCTGTCAACATAGTAGCCATGTTGATACGCGGATCAGGACGAGTTGGAGTCGAAGAGCAGCTCTGCATTCAAATAGTGAGTAACGTTACAGAGTACTCAACTTTATCATCCCTTACGAAAAAATATTGCAGTTAAGAGTTTAGTACAACTGCAGTAAGCTGCAAATACTGCGTCCAAAATACGTTTTTTTTACTGCAGTAATTTTGCAGTGTAACTGCAGTTAGAGTGCAGTATAACTGCATATTCTGCAACAAAAATGCCACAGTCGACATCAGTTACAAAACTGCAATCTTTTTTTTGTAAGGGATGCCTTCTCGTGATTGGAACTCTGCAAGTATGTGCAGTCAATGCAGACCGCTCAACCAGAGACCGCAGTTTAACGGTGATAACTGTATTAAAGTTTCCACAGCATAAACAAATCAATGAAGTTGCATCCATGTACCTCAATTCGCCAACCTATATGGACAGTTTCAAAGTTTCCACTTAGCTGTATCGTTTCTTTACGTTTCAGATGATGGAAGGCTGTGTCTGGCAGGTTTTGGAGTAGGGATCCCCAGTCAGAGAGGGTGTGGCGGCTGTGTAGAGGAAAGCCGAGGGTGCCAGGATGCACATATCAGCGAGGGATATCTGGCCCTGTCTTTCACAGACAGAGTAGAGTGCTGGAACTCTGAGCGAAATGAGAAGAAACCAGGGTGGAGTATGGAGATTCCAGACAATACTGGTATTGATTCATACTGACTGGAGCTGTAGGTTGAACAGCAGCATAGTTGGTACCACCCACAACCCCTAGAATTAAGTAAATATTGTTATTTCCCCCACTCAGGTCCATGTACAGTACAGGTGTGTGGCAAATATAATGAAGCTCTAATCAATAGTTGAATTTCAATAATGTTGTAACCATAATGTATTCTTGTGTGTTTTGTAGGGCCCTCACTTGCATTCCCATTAGTTCCAGGAGGGTACATAGCTTCCAACCCTCCCTTTTACCGCCCACTTTCCCCACAACTACTGGCTGTTAGCCTGGCACTGGGCACAGAGCACGCAGTCCTCCTCACTGCCTCTGGAGACATCTATACCTGGGGCTCTGGCAGGTAGACAACAAATGTCATGTTTAGTAATGGAATTAACAAATACTGTACAACAGTTTAGTCAATAGGCATTTTTTCAGCACAGCTTTCATAGGTTACTGATGTATTATTTTGGGCACATCAGACATGGCAGAATGAACACAACAGCGTATTAAATAAATGTTCTGAAAACCTTGCACCCTGGTGTTGTTGGCAGCCATGGGCAGCTGGGACATGGGGACCTGAGCCCGCAGGAGGAGCCCAGAGCAATGGAGGCACTATTGGGGATGCCCATGAGCACTGTGGCCGCCGGGGGTTGGCACTCTGTCTGCACCAGTGGTAAGAGGGACTGACTGGGATGGAACATACAAAAGAATGATACAAAGTAGAGTGATTGCATTACATTAGTCAGTCAATGTGATCACTAGTCTGGTCCACAGCTGGGGGAGACCTGTACGTGTGGGGCTGGAATGAGAGTGGCCAGTTGGGACTGCCATCACGAGCCCTAAGAGGAGAGCAGCAGAAGAGCCAGGGCACAGGTCTGCCTGTCTGAAATCTGTATTGTATTTTGGGAGGGCAGATCCACCAGCTCAGCTTGTTTTAATATTCAGTGTTCATGCAGGCAAATGGATGATACTTACATAAACCCCAAATTGGCTGCGTTGCAAAACACCTACATTGAGGTTCTGGACAGGCGTAGATATAGAACATAATATTGATATATTGTCTATCTGGACTGCTGTATGTTGTTTAGGTGGTGCCAGCACATGTAAAGATCAAGAGGAGGGCAGCAACGAAGTGTTCATATCAATCCAGGCCTTCCCAGCCCTGGTGGATGTCACTCAGTCATGTGAGGTCAGCAAGATCAGCTGTGGGTCGCGCCACACTGCGGCAGTCACAAGTAAGAGCCTTTCACACAAGCTGCTGCAAACTGCTAATTCAGAGAGATGAGTTTTTTTCTATTTATTTTCCAGGTACAGGTGATCTCTACACTTGGGGCTGGGGTAAGCTTTAAATGTCAAATGTCACCTATTCTAGTCTAGGTGGCTTTGAGTAGGCCTGTGTATTGCATAAATAGACCTTATGTATTTCACTTAGGAATTCATATCAATGAATGGATAGACATGGCCTTTTCTCATGCACGGCTACAAGCTTTGCATTTGCCAACGTTTCAGGTGAATACGGCCAGCTGGGACAGGGGACTGTGAGCAGTTCAGACGAGCCAAGACGGGTAGAGTTTTTCAAGGACCAAGGGCTGCGTGTAGTGGATGTAGTGTGTGGGCCATGGAACACTTTTGTTTCTGCTATCAAAAAGGACCCCTCTCTCCATCCTGACACAAATATCCTTTATCCTCTGTAACCAAGGACTACATTGAATGGAAAAACTGTCTGTAGGAGTTGAGCACTAAGGACGGTACACAGATTGATTGATTAGCTGTTTATTTTTTCAGACAAATAAAGTAAAGTCAGTGACTAAGACTTGATTACTTTTATTCTAGCTATTTATAGATTTAAAAAAGTTTTACAGTTAAGAGCTGTTATTGCACTGACATTGTTAAAATACATTTTCAAACAGATATAGAAAATATTAATCTACAGCCAAATATAATTTAGGCCGTGGATCAGACTTTTCCCAGACCTTCTTTCCCCTGGAAAAATTCTCTACTTTACGCACAGTCTCTGATCTACTCATAGAGAACAGGCTACTTTGATCAAAGCTGATTCAATGTCTGCAAGATCACAATGATAGTATTCTACAAAACAGAACCGAATATAATAGTTTAACATTACTGTAAGACAAAAAACACCATCACATTTTTCCTCATGTGGCCACTAGGCAAAAACACAGGTAGCCTAAGCTATGCTACAGTTGAACATAATCTGCTCTAAAATTAGCTCACTTGCCCATCATTCGAAACAACACTAACTCAAGAAGATCTAAATGCATATCCCATTAAACTGATTTGAGATCAAATGGTTGGTATGCAGATGCTGCATGGACGTTTCACTGGTAAAACTTGAAGAATTATCATAGCGCTCACCAGCTTGTAGTCCTAAAACCCTGGAAATTAGTTACCTCTGGTTCGTTCAGCCATCCCTATGTGAAAAATTAATGGGGAAAGAATAGGATTTTGGAATAAACGCTGAAAATAAGGTCTGAGGTTAACACAGGCTTAGGAGATCTTATATGTTTTGTTCCATGAGATAATAGCAGTCAGTTAACATGACCTTTATGAATTATGAAGCATTTGTGCTATGTGCTTTTTAAAATTATATAATTTCTTCAAAATTCACAAAAAGTGATGTTAGCTGATTTAAGATTAATTATCTCAGAACAAAATGTATAACATCTCCTAAGCTTGTGTTTACCTAACCTTATTTTTGGCATTTATCCAAAAACGCCATTCATTTCCCCTTAGGCTTTGTCCAACGGTGGAGTTGGTGCATGCGCCATTACTATTTCTATCATTCACGATTGTCAATGAGAACTGTGAAGGGAAGGTGACCACAAAAATGTATATGTAAAGTAGAGGTAAAGAAACATGCGCAGTACGTGATCTGCACATGTTCAGAAGATTCGGGACCTTTAGTCCGGGGGGAAAAGCCACGGCGTATAATTTAAGGCAAAATCTCTAAAAGTTATTGTTATTACAATGATAAAATAAGAGGTCCTCTTAGTGTCAATAGAACAGAATCCAAAGCATCCATATCCTGGTGTCTTATTTGTAGACTTCACAGCACAATCTTAAAAGAACTGGAGAAAAATGTGGAATATTAGAGGGGGGTACATAGTTACAATGTAGAGATTATGGAGAGATATTCTAATCAGATTTCAACTCACCTGACGAAATCTGGCGACCTCGAGATGACGTGTTGGAACTCTGACAAATTCACTGTCCCATCTTTGTCTATATCTGACTCTTCAAGAATCTGCAATATTGAAAAGGAAATAAGTAGTTGCCTTACCCTTGGATATTGCAGATGGAGACCTGAAATCATACACAGCAGACCTGACTATATCATACACAGCAGGTCTTCCTTGAGGTAGGCCCACATTGGGAAGAACCAATAGTGGCCTTAATCTGTAAACTTACATTGCTGATGAGCTGCCTCATCTCTTCAGGAGTAAGCCTTGTGTCGTCAGTCTCACCAGTCAGACAGTTCACCAGCTTCTCCAGGTCCCCACCATCCAGAGTGCCATCGTCATCAAAGTCTGAACAGACAAAACAATGCCCCTTTTATGTTTTCACCAGCACCCCACACACTGCCAGACATCCATGAATACATTACATACATATACCCCAAGAATTCCCAACAATTGTATTACCAAAAATGCGGAATGCGTAGTGGGACTTGATTTCCAGTGTAGCTGAATCACTGAAGGCACTCAAAAGATCAAGGAAGTCCTCAAAGGTGAGACTTCCATCTTTCATATCAGATGTTGAGAATACATGACAAATCCTTTTCCTGAAAGGGTTGGACTAAAGGGTGGGGACAGAACATAAACATTAGGGACCAAAGGAAATCCAACATGTTACAATGTTTTTAAACAACATTCAAGTATTAGTAACGGAGTAGAATTTAAATTGCAATCTTGTCACCTTGAGTTCTGTCAGTGAAAGGACTTTCTCCATGGGCACTCTGGTGAGGTTTCTGTCCTCTTTGGAAAGGAGTTCACTGAATCTCTTGTGTGCCCTACAGAAAAGATGCATCACACAACCTTAGCGCTGCCTGTATGTATGTTCATTGTTCATCAAGTCTCTCGCAATATATCTACAATGACAAACCATTCCAACCTAGTTCAAACATGTAAAGTAAATCCATGTTGCCTATCAAATTTCCTTGTAAATTGGACTTTAGCCCTTTGTTGTCAAGGACGTTAGGCTCCATTTTGCCAGAGCCTATGTATTTATATACTGTATTTGTATCAAATAGGATATTGAAAATAATAGTATCAGTAAATTGAAATAATTGTGAATTAAGCTAGTTACTTACAGCAGAATTTCTTGTTTTGTAAGAAATGTCAGCTCCTGGAAGGGAAGTGTTGGTACATTATTTTCAAATATACCACACACATTGCACATTGATATACTTTTTTACCCCAACTTCTTGCTTTTATCAGTTTTGTGCAATGCGCTCAACAAGTTGTCCTACTAGCTAACGTTAGCTAACAACAGACGTCAAAAGCTGAAAATGCACTTAAATAATAATAATAATAATAATAATAATAATAATAATAATAATAATAATTGGTCATTTAGCAGACGCTCTTATCCAGAGCGACTTACAGGAGCAATTAGGGTTAAGTGCCTTGCTCAAGGGCACATCGACAGATTTTTCACCTAGTGGGCTCGGGGATTAGAACCAGCGACCTTTCGGTTACTGGCACAACGCTCTTACCCACTAAGCTACCTGCCTCCCCACTTGCTAGTTAATATAGGCAATAATTCAAGCTGAGCCGCGACTCTTTGAGGGCAGAAAGTAACGATACATAGCCAAATAGTTGTCTGGCTAAAAACAACTTTATTAGCTTTTAGATACCGTTAGCTATCTACGTTAGTTATTCCCTAACCTAGTAACGACACTGGCCAACAACTTGTGTAAATTTTATTGGCTAGATAGCTAATTAATGTTAGATATCTTATGTCACCTGATATTCTGAGAGAAGATCCTTCCTTAATTGACTTGCTGTTGTTCCCATGTTGTTTTCCTTCTGTTTGTTTAGCTAGCTAACTTCTGAGAAAGAAAACTTTCTGCTTCGATAACTTTCCAAAGTAGTCACTTCCCTTTCCGGAATCTATGTAATATTAAGTAGAAATATCGGACGTGCTACCTGCTGTTCTGCGCCTGCGCCAATGGAACACAGACCTGTTCACCAGACGTGCTACCTTGTCCTGGACTTGCTGTTTCGACCCTCTCTCTCTACGGTAACTGCGTCTCGACCTCTGAATGCTCGGCTATGAAAAGCCAGCAGACATTTACACCCGAGGTGCTGACCTGTTGCACCCTCTATAACCACTGTGATTATTATTTCACCATGCTGGTCAACTATGAACGTTTGAACATCTTGAACAACGATCCGGCCTTAATGGCGATGTACTCTTATAATCTCCACTGGGCACAGCCAGAGGAGGACTGGCCACAACTCAGAGCCTGGTTCTTCTCTAGGTTTCTTCCTAGGGAGTTTTTCCTAGCCACCGTGCTTCTACATCTGCATTGTTTGCTCATTGGTGTTTTAGGCTGCGTTTCTGTATAAGCACATTGTGATATGTGTGGATGTAATGTGATTGACATTACCATAGTAACAAGACTTGCATATAGCGCGCCAACACAACACCAGATGGCGACCACGTGCCGCCCTCACTACAAACCGCTACCAGCCTTCCACAGCCTGTTGCTGTGAGCTGTGTACCAAGAGAGAGCTAAAGGGAGTTTTATATTTATTTATTTTTATTGCATTACACGAACATTGTACAAAACAATATACAGATATCACACATAACAAAAATATATATAAATTATAAATAAATCCAGAGAGACACAAAAAGTATATTATGCTATAGACAAGTTACATTTTGTCAAATACTGTAGACACTTGATAATGTAGTATTTATATATTTTAGGGATGTTATATAATATTGTAAATGAATTAGAAAAATATTAAATAAAAATGTTTTCCCTTCAACTTCATTTTATGGATGAAACATTTTCCCAATAAAATGAACTAATTCACAATGTATTGGCAGTAACTGTGCATGTACAGTGGGGAAAAAAAGTATTTAGTCAGCCACCAATTGTGCAAGTTCTCCCACTTAAAAAGATGAGAGAGGCCTGTAATTTTCATCATAGGTACATGTCAACTATGACAGACAAAATGAGGAAAAAAAATCCAGAAAATCACATTGTAGGATTTTTAATGAATTTATTTGCAAATTATGGTGGAAAATAAGTATTTGGTCAATAACAAAACTTTCTCAATACTTTGTTATATACCCTTTGTTGGCAATGACACAGGTCAAACATTTTCTGTAAGTCTTCACAAGGTTTTCACACACTGTTGCTGGTATTTGGCCCATTCCTCCATGCAGATCTCCTCTAGAGCAATGATGTTTTGGGGCTGTCGCTGGGCAACACGGACTTTCAACTCCCTCCAAAGATTTTCTATGGGTTGAGATCTGGAGACTGGCTAGGACACTCCAGGACCTTGAAATGCTTCTTACGAAGCCACTCCTTCGTTGCTCGGGCGGTGTGTTTGGGATCATTGTCATGCTGAAAGACCCAGCCACATTTAATCTTCAATGCCCTTGCTGATGGAAGGAGGTTTTCACTCAAAATCTCACGATACATGGCCCCATTCATTCTTTCCTTTACACGGATAAGTCGTCCTGGTCCCTTTGCAGAAAAACACCCCCAAAGCATGATGTTTCCACGCCCATGTTTCACAGTAGGTATGGTGTTCTTTGGATGCAACTCAGCATTCTTTGTCCTCCAAACACGACGAGTTGAGTTTTTACCAAAAAGTTCTATTTTGGTTACATCTGACCATATGACATTCTCCCAATCCTCTTCTGGATCATCCAAATGCACTCTAGCAAACTTCAGACGGGCCTGGACATGTACTGGCTTAAGCAGGGGGACACGTCTGGCGCTGCAGGATTTGAGTCCCTGGTGGCGTAGTGTGTTACTGATGGTAGGCTTTGTTACTTTGGTCCCAGCTCTCTGCAGGTCATTCACTAGGTCCCCCCGTGTGGTTCTGGGATTTTTGCTCACCGTTCTTGTGATCATTTTGACCCCACGGGGTGAGATCTTGTGTGGAGCCCCAGATCGAGGGAGATTATCAGTGGTCTTGTATGTCTTCCATTTCCTAATAATTGCTCCCACAGTTGATTTCTTCAAACCAAGCTGCTTACCTATTGCAGATTCAGTCTTCCCAGCCTGGTGCAGGTCTACAATTTTGTTTCTGGTGTCCTTTGACAGCTCTTTGGTCTTGGCCATAGTGCAGTTTGGAGTGTGACTGTTTGAGGTTGTGGACAGGTGTCTTTTATATTGATAACAAGTTCAAACAGGTGCCATTAATACAGGTAACGAGTGGAGGACAAAGGAGCCTCTTAAAGAAGAAGTTACAGGTCTGTGAGAGCCAGAAATCTTGCTTGTTTGTAGGTGACCAAATACTTATTTTCCACCATAATTTGCAAATAAATTCATTAAAAATCCTACAATGTGATTTTCTGGATTTTTTTTCTCTCAATTTGTCTGTCATAGTTGATGTGTACCTATGAAGAAAATTACAGGCCTCTCTCATCTTTTTAAGTGGGAGAACTTGCACAATTGGTGGCTGACTAAATACTTTTTTTCCCCACTGTATGTAAAATATAAAATAATATCACATTTGGTAATGCTTATAGGTTTACCCATCACTAATATATATTTTCATATCTGTCCAAAATATTTCACTATGCAAATCATTTTCCAATTCACAAAAGCTACATTCCTTTTCTACATTAATTACATATTTTGAAATAAGACTATTACAAGGATAACATCTTTGAAGGATCTTGTAAGAGACTTACTCTTACTTTATTAGTTATCACATATTTATGTGGATTAGTCCATGCACGCTGCCATTTCACATCAAATGAAGATGCCCATTGAAAAATTGCAGCAGGGGTAAACTTCCTGTTAATAATTTCTTGGACTAAATTTCTTTTCTAATATATTGATGCCATTAATTTCTACACTATCACTGTAGCTTGGTGCATGTAATGAAATTTTTTATCCATCCTTCAGTAAAGTAAGGATTCCATTGGGAATAGCTTTCATTAAAATGTAATATTCCTAACACAACATAAAAGTTATATTTGGCTAATAATTCTTTGTAAGTATAAAGATGACCATTATCATTTATAAGTTGATTAACCACGAAGATGTTATTGTTAAACCAATTATGAAAAAGAAAGGTATTATTTCTATATCTAATATCACTGTTATTCCAAATACAATATTTGTGTGGAGAGAGGTTGTGCTTGCATAACAAGGACCAGCACATTAGAGCTTGTTTATGAAATGTTGCTAATTTAACAGGAAGATTACCCACAGCATAAGGTCGTTGGAGTAAAAAATTAAGCCCCCTAATTTTCTAGAAAATAAAATGTGGTATTATATTCTAAAGACTGTAAGGTTTTTTGAGATACCTCTTAATCCAGTTCAGTTTTGTATTCTGGTTAAACAGCGTAAAATCTAAAACATTAAGACCACCATCAAATGTTAAATTAAAATTAAAATGTTGTTGGTAATGACATCCTTCCTGATCTTGTGTGGCTTATTTTTCCAAATGAAATTGGATACTAATTTGTCGAGTGGTACATGCAGACTTGGGAATCTCTAAAGATGTAAAAAGATAAGAAACTTGAGATAAACCCTCTCTCTGCCTTTGACAGGAGAACTCTACCCTGAAGAGATCAATCTCTTGCCAACCATGAATTACATTTATTTTTTATAGATTCAATTACGGGATTTACATAAGTGTTTAATTTCGTTATCTTTGACAGAAATGTCTCATATTCTAGGACTCACTGCATCTTTAAGTGCTAAAATTTCACATTTTGCAATATTCAATACCAAACCTGACACTTGAGAGAATTGCTCTACTATATGTAGGGCTACTGGAACCTGATTTTAATTTCTCAAAAACAGGGTTGTATCGTCGGCAAATTAGGAAATATTCACCTCTTTATCACATACAACAATTCCTTCAAATTGACTCTTGGTGACCATTGAACAAAGAATTAGTGATACTAACAGGAATACAAATTGTGACGCTGGACAGCCCTGACGAATCCCTTTATGAATATCAAATCTAGGTGAGGATCCACGGAAAGTTTAATAATAATAATAATAATATGCCATTTAGCAGACTCTTTTATCCAAAGCGACTTACAGTCATGCGTGCATAAATTTTTGTGCATGAGTGGTCCCGGGGATCGAACCCACTACCTTGGCGTTACAAGCGCCGTGCTCTACCAGCTGAGCTACAGAGGACCACATAACACAACTATTACCACCATTATAAAGAGTTTTAATTGTGTTGATAAAAAAATTACCAAATTTGAAATAGTGCAATGTATCTAAAATAAACTCATGGCTAACAAATGCTTTTTTGAAATCCAAAAATAGAATAACAGGATTGTCATCTAATAAATCACTATATTCCATCAAGTCCAAGACCAGCCCTTTCAAAAATCCAGATTGGCACTCATTAATTAAACTACAAAGACCATATTTTAACTGTTTTGCTAGAATGAAAGCTAGTATCTTATCGTTGTTTAAGCGGTTAATTGGACGCCAATTATCAATAAATAATATGTCCTTATGTGGTTTATGGATAAGAGTTAACACCTTGTTTCAATGAGGTTGGTAGCTTTCCTTTTTCTATAGCTTCCTCATACAGTGCCTCTGGAAAGTATTCAGACCCCTTGACTTTTTCCACATTTTGTTATTTTACAGCCTTATTCTAAAATTGATTTTAAAAAATGTTTTCCTCATTAATCTACACACAATACCCCATAATGACAAAGCAAAAATAGAAAAAAAACCGGAAATATCACATTTACATAAGTATTCAGACCCTTTACTCAGTACTTTGTTGAAGCAGCTTTGGCAGCGACTACAGCCTCGAGTCTTCTTGGGTATGACGCTACAAGCTTGCAGATCCTCTCAAGCTCTGTCAGGTTGGATGGGGAGCGATGTTCGATCGGGTTCAAGTACAGGCTCTGGCTGGGCCACTCAAGGACATTCAGAGACTTGTCCCGAAGCCACTCCTG